ATATATATATATATATATATGAAAGAGCCAAACTTAGGAAAAACAAATAATAACAATAGATTTATTTTCAAGCATTTCATCCTTTTATAATTTTTCAAAGTGATCTGGTTTTATAAAATCAATCTATAAACCCCTAATGCGATGAGTTGGATACAATGAACCAGACTGTTTGAAAGCTTGAATGATGTTCAGCCTCGTTTTGCTTCGTCTTGTTTTTTTATTTCTTGGATCTGAGAAATGTGACACAGATAAGAAGCCATTTCTCAGCTCTGTCACGGAGCTTCAACCCCTGATCTATCCGTCTCACTTGACTTTAACCTACTAATCCTATAGTTACAGTCAGTGTCAATTGTGTCAACATTAACAGTGCAACCAGAAGTAAATATTTATATATTAGGTCCCGTCAATATATTATTTATATACTTTCTATAGTAAAATGAATTGTTCTGCACCACTCTAGACATCCGTCATATATGTATAATTTCAAAAATAATAATAATGTTGATGAAACAGCTGTATCTGTCTGCACCAGTAAATATGCCTTGATCTATCCCTATCTATTATAGATCATGAGTGGAAAATCATAATTTTGCAGCTAGAGCAGCTGCTCCTCATGACATGAAGAAACAGGCGAAATTAGACCAAAATTATATTGTGTGTTTTTGACAGAAGAAAACATAGCCTGTATTTTTATTTTTTTTTAAATGGCAGCATTAGAGAGAAGAAACTGTCAACATACGTCATCGCAAGGCCCAAAGCAAATCGAGTCATCCCTGAATCATACGAGTGAATTGATCCTTCAGAGAAAAGTGAGACAATTGTCCCATTATGTATAAACGGGTCGTCCCTCTTCGAGTAACAGGTTTTTAACCACGCACTAAATGGCATCAAAGAGCAAATGTTATGGAGGCGATTTCTGAATTTCTACCAGTCATGTGTTTTTGTTTGCTTTTTATAACTTTGTAGAAGCACCTTAGATAAGTTATACTTATATGGAGCAAATTTATTCCATTATTGTTTGAAGCCAAGAACATGTTTTGTAAGTGAAAATGCAACAAAATTTAATCCATAAATAAAAACTTTGAAAAACCTTTTGATTATAAATAAAGGGTTTAGTTAGTAACTTTGTTTTTTGTTCTTTTTTTTAAATCTTTTTCTTTCAATTTAGCTTTTCCATTTTTTTTTATTTTTTTTTAGAAATAATCATTCAGATAAAAAAAATTAAAGTTTCTTCTAAAATATTTTCTTCTGTATAGATTTTAAATTTTCTAATATTTTCCCAAATATTCGCCTTTTCTAAAAAAAAAAAAAAAA